AGCACCACTTGTTTTATCTTCTAATTTAAGATTACATTGTGTACCTTTGGCTACCAAACGCATACGACCGGTCCAGGTGGGTTCTCCCAAATTCCAATCGGCGGCTCTGTAAGAAAAGTGTTCAGTAATTAATAGAAAAGACTAATAGATTTAACCTAGAACTAGATGTTAATATTAAATGTAAATAAAAGGTTTCCCCATCTTTCTTCTATAAATCTTCTATAAATTACAGATTTTAGTTATTTTGTTCAGGGATCAAAAACTGGACTTTGGTTGACATTTCAATTTTGAGAAAAATTTGCTTTTAAAATTGCTATAAATTGATGGCGTCTCTTGATCACTTATGCATATAGCTGCTTAAGTTCTCCTCGTACACCCGAAGGTCCTCCCTAACATGTTCTGAGGATATTGGCATGCAGCCCGTAACAGTTCTAAGGCAGCACTTTGTACGCTTTGAATATTTCTCTATTGGATATCAATCAGCGATACATGTCACACTGGAGCAGTATGATTAACCACTGATTGGTCAGATAGCTAACAAGGTAACTTTTTCCATACGTCAAGTGCGGGCGTCTGGCGCATTAAGGAGTTTGTTCCTCCGAGGTAACCATTCATACGATCGCATTAGTCACTAACTTCGTCCACATATGACGTTTTCAGTCACTTACTCTCAGCGGTCCCTATTATAAATGTCTTAAACATTTGAATAATAATTCGAAATCTCAATTTTAAACCTTGAAAACCAACTAGAACCAAAATAAATATTACATTAATATGAAACTAAAACAACGTGTAGGATCGATAAAACCAACAACTATTTGAAGAAAAAATCAATTAAAATTGAACTTCAATTGTAAAAATAACAAAAGAAACATAATTTTCATCGCACACAAACACACGCAGCAGGCAGCACGAAATTGCAATTGGATTTTTATAACATACTATAGTTAGGAGGGTATTATCTCTTTGTCCTAATGTATGTAACAATCTGGTCCATATTAATAAAACAGGTAGTAATTTTAAGGATAATGTTACGAATCTATTACTTCGATCTATTCGCCTTATCTTCGGAAATCAATATAGATTCAAAAATATCTGAAACCTTTAAAAATAAACACAAATAATTTTCAAGCAATAGCTGCATAATTTTTACAAAAATCTTTCCATTCCTGTAGGGTACCACAAAACTGGACTTAACCGACTTTGCTTTCTTACTTGGTAGGTATTCCTATTGAGATGTTTTTAACCTTGCAAGAATAACAAAAATAAAAGAAAGAACGAAAAAAAGTGCACACACAACAAACACACAATTGGAAGAAGATTCTGCTGTTTTAATAATAAAAAAATTACAATGTACACACATTAACATTGTTATATACAGGAAATAAGCGAATATATTATAAACAAATTAACAAAATTGTGTTTTTATATTTAATTATTATTTTGTTAAACAATAGAAAGTGAAAAATTGAGGGCGTATTTATTTTGCCAACAAAGCATGACGTTTTTATTTGTTTTGTTTTTAATTTTAATATAATTTTTTCTTAAAACATTTCATTCACTTGCAATTAAGAAGAAAATAACAAAAAAAAGTAGTGTAATGAGAAATTAACTAAAATATCAAATCAATTTTATTTTCTTTATTCTTGCCAGTAGTTTTTTTTTACCTGTAACCACGATTATTGGCTCTGGGTGGAATTTTATATATAAATACTTCTGGTTTAACAATTAAAACACTTTCATAATCCATTTTTGCAAAAATTTATTAACGAATTATTATTTCTTTCGTCCCAAAATATCAAAAAAAAACTTATTCACGAAATTTTTTATGATTGTTTTTTCCCAAAAAATTATAGACTGCGCTGCTTTCAGTGTTGGCAATTTATTTTCCCAGCAAATCAAGCAACTTTTAATTCTAGCGATTTTACTAATGGAAGATTTGCTAATTTTTCTAAATTTTAACCTAGTAAATAAATTAAAATAAAAATTAAGAAAAAAAGTATTAAATATTATAATAAACAACGCTTATAAGCTTATAAAAAAAAAAAACAACATTTAAATAGTTTTGTAAATTTTACAAGAAAAAATGTTATCATCACTGGTTGCTCTACAGCTGACACTTTTGCACTTGTCATCACAGATAATAACAGGGTGCTCATAATAACGTTGTTTTAAAGAAACACAATGATTCAAAAAAAAATTAACGGTTTTCTTTTTAAAAGTTGCCAAACCATGAGTATTTTAAATCATTAAAAACTTTACACAATATGGAATTTAGCTATTTTTTAATAATTTATTGATTGTTGTTATTGTTGTTATGTACTTTTAATAATCTTGTTTATAATTCAAAATTCTTTCGAAACTTGAAAGTCACTTTTATAACCATTGTATCATTTATCAGAAAATGAGCACGTATATATTAATCATGCAGAAGAGTTATAAATGACTCAAATGTGTTAAAAAATTTCAAAAAATATTAGTTGTTGGGATGATATATCTATATATTCTCCTGGTTCTCATTACAATTCAGTAACAGTAGATTAAATCCATCTTCTCCAAGCTTCAAAAATTACAGAACAAAAAAAAAGGGAAACGATCCTGAAGGGTTTGTCAGTTAATGGATTAAAAACACACCTTTAAGAAAATTTAAATATTATAGATACGATAACCGGTTTACTATGACCCATTTACATTTTACTAACCCTCCTAGGACCTTTTTAAAAATAACTAAAAATCTAATATGAATAATATAACCTTTAACAGTAGCTACTGAAGTGTAGACAGAACGAAAACACGATTGACCTACAATTGCAAAACAACATGCACATTTCAACATACATACATACATGTTACCACCCTTATTATCCTTTCGTCCTTTTATTAAAAACGAAAATCAAATAACATGCCCTTCAAAATTTATTTTATTTATATTGTAAAAATCGTTTTATAGTTAATATTCACTGAAATAAAATATGTGTGTTATATGAAAATAACACATCTGCAAAACGGAAAGGAAGTGGTGGAAAAAATAGAAAAAAAAAATAAATACTGTAAGTAAATAATAGGGAGGAAGGAAAGACAAGTATTCATCTGCATCAAACTCGATTAAAATCGAAGATCATTAACAGCAATAAAAATGTTTATTTATGTTTGATGGATCTATAAAGTTCCACCGAATATGTATGTATTTTTAAAAATAGCTGTTCAATTCAACCGAATTTTAATAGTTTTTTCCTTTATCTCTGAATTTTGAATTATAAAAATGTTTATCGGATTATTTTGAAGAGCATCGTTTATAAATTGATATTAACCCTTAAATGATTGAGGTCATTCACATACTTATGTAAAAATCCTTGCTTAACACAATATAAATTTTCCTGAGAAATGTACCATTTTCCCATAAATTCGCAAAAACTATTGATAAAGTCTTGCTGATGTAGGGTCTATCTTTGGGATAATAAAGTCAAAGACATACATTCTTTTTAAATCCCTTTTTACAACTAGGTAGTAGTTCTGAAAACCTGAATGGTTTATTCATGGAAAAAGAAAATAGGTTGTTGTTGTTGTTGTAGCAGCAAAATAGCTCCTCATCGATGCAAGGATTCGAGCGACTGCAATTTTTTCTATCTAGTCCATGTACGACGCCACAGCATAGACGATTCATAATCTTAGATATCTTCAACAATAATATAAATTGAAGTATTCGATATCGATCTCAATATACTTGAAACGGGCTCTTCAATTGGATGCCAAAGTTGGTTATCAATAACAAACAAAGGTATGATCCGATCCTCATCTGAAGACAACTTTCTAGCCTCCAACCAAAAGTCGTTAGTAGATCATTTAGTAACTGTAAAACAGTACTTTCTGAAACTCCATTACCGGATCGCGCTGTTCTCAGTAATACAATTGCTGAGGAAGTCTTTAATGATCTCTACCTCTACTGTTAAGTTCCGTCAAACCAGAGATAGCTACGTATAGAAAATTAGATTTCCAAACAAAGTTCAATCAAAAGTATTTTTTGGTCTCCACTAATATAAGTTTAAGTTTAAATTCTATCCATCAAGTTAAATTGAGATTATTTTATGATTTCCACCAGTTCAAAACATAACCTCACTTTGGGGTAAAACGAAAGCGCGAGCTTTCTATACGTTGAAGAACGTTGGGAGGATTTTCTTCGAACGTAGAATACCCTGATGTTTTGCCTAGATGCATTTATCTTTAATTTTTAAATCCAAATAGTAATAATAAGAAAATGGATGAGGAAAAAGTTTCAGAATCTTTGGGGGGATAAGAGATCACTGCTAGATAAGAGCTTATACCAAATATTTGTGATACATGAGAATGACGAATAGTTACGAGACAATAGAACGCAATATCTGTAACTGCGCTAGAATAGAAAGCCTTAAATTTAAATGGCTAGAAAATAGATATCAAAATAGAACTATTCTACAACCATATGAGGTGGGCTAACAAACTGAAGTGTGCCAAAACTGCTCTTTTGTAAAAACTAACATTTCGATTCTCTCCATAGTATTTAGCCACGCAAATTCCCACCCAATTGTTTCCTAAATCTTATAAGAATGAGAACTTTTTAAAAGCTGTACACTTTTCAAATTTAAAAAAGCTTCGGTGGGTCGCTTATAAATATATACATCCATATACACATACATATGTACATACATACATATACATATATATACATATCTATATAATATGCATTTGGTCGCGTGGCGTTGATGATTATGTTGAAAAAAGGGCAAAGGGAAAATAAATATATCTACATACATGGATTTATTGGTAAAGTATTGCAGCTGCTACCACACGACTACACTCGGTCATACATAACGTTTGATAACCGGCAACAACTGAAAATGCTGCTGTTGCGATCAACAAGGGTTGTTTTTAAAGGAAAACGAAAAGTGAAAAAAATGCGAATGAATTGAACTGAATTGAACATATTGCTTATAAAACAGCAACCAACCACTAACTTATTTACAGATCTACTGTTGCTGCATAAACGTTGCTCCACAGCCAGCTAGCTAGAGCACTAAAAACAACAAAACAAAAACAAGAAGATACTACACACAACTACGGCCATAGCGAATATGAACAGCTGTCTCAGCTGTTTTTATTGAATGAAAGGTATCTAAACGATGAAAATAGTATGTGTACAGGGAATAATGAGGGGATGAGATAGTTGTCAGTCACCCTTATGTTATGAATTGGGTTTTTTTATTCAATGTTAGTGCAAGTTTAAGGGTTCAAATTAGAGATAGAGTTTTTGTAACTGAACATAATGTGCACTGTCAGTCAGTCGGGTTTCGGATGAGCTCTAGTGCACAACGTTGCGCAGCAAAGTAAAAACAAGTATCAGCAAGTGATCGTTTCAAAATAAACATTGTTCAAACGAATATCTAAGCGAAAATGTCGGGTAAATTAATAATGAAACGTAAATTGGATAAAACACATCAATCGTCTCTTAATAATAAAGTGGAATTGGAAGAATCAGTCTCATCATCAACATCCTCTTCTTCTACATCCCCCTCCTCATCTTCTAATGGAACATCAGAAGTGGAATCCAAAAATCCAACTAATAGAAATGAAGAAGAATCTTTTGTTAGACAACCACAAAGTAAACGTCTACGCTGTGATACACCACCGCCAGAACCAGAGGATTTAAATTTACCACCCTTACCTCTAGTTACCGAACAAAATCGCCATTTACTCCAGGCCATACAATTGAAAATGTTGGAATTACAAAATGAATTGGAAGCATTCGAACATGATGTTGAAGCTCATGAAGAAGACTACTATTATCTTAACGATCATCAGGATCTCGATAATCGTCAGAATAATCAAATGTCGGAACAAGAAGCTGAAGCTTTAGGTTTCGCTATGTGTGCTCAAGAGACAATGTTGTTTCTGCAAAGAGAAGGGGTACCCTCGGATAGTTTACTCTATACACGTCTACGTGATGCTTTAGTGGGACGTTCACAGCCCGATCGTGTAGTTCATCTATGAGGAAATAAGGAAATGTGCAAATGTTTACGTTGCCCAGTGTTTTTTCCAAAACGTCTAGTCATTGTTTTAGAAATGTTTCTGTGAAACATAAAAAAAAGTAATTTTAGTTTATAAAAGAAAAATCTAGTCATGTTTTTTTTTCATTAAGTTAAACTTAAGAATGAAATCACATATAGTATGTAATAAACAATTTAAGATAATTTATAATAATTTTATAAATATTTAGATGTAACAATTTTAAAGGAGGACTTTAAAACAGGAAAATAAGGAAACAAAATATATTTTTTATATTTATATATATTTACATAATAAAAATACTGCATATTTTTCATCAAAATCTAAACTAAAATCTTTAAATATTGCGCAAGAATGGGATTATCCACTGATTTCTATTAAAATTGCCGTTTAATTACATAAATAATTCATTTTTGGTGAAAGTTCGATTTCTGTAAGATCGGATTTAGTCTGAATGGAAAATGGATTTTATGTATGATCGATACTTTGGTTAAAAATATCCTTTTTTTCTATTTTTTGTTAAAGAAAATATGAAAAATAAAAAAAAGTAAAAACTCGATATTTTGGTAGAAAATTAAGATTATTTGGAAATCGAGTATTTAGCGAAATATCGAGATTTTGGTGAAATATACAGATTTTGGTAAAAATTTAAATTTTGATGAAATATCCAATTTTTTTTATATATCGAGAATTTGATGAAGTCGATATTTTGGTGAAATATCGAGATTTTGGCGATATATCGAGATTTTGACGAAATATCGAGATTTTGGAGAAATATAGTCTAGTCTATAGTCTAGTCTATAGTCTAATCTATAGTCTAGTCTATAGTCTAATCTATAGTCTAGTCTATAGTCTAGTCTATAGTCTAGTCTATAGTCTAGTCTAGTCTATAGTCTAGTCTATAGTCTAATCTATAGTCTAGTCTATAGTCTAGTCTATAGTCTATCTAGTCTAGTCTATAGTCTAGTCTATAGTCTAGTCTATAGTCTAGTCTATAGTCTAGTCTATAGTCTAGTCTATAGTCTAGTCTATAGTCTAGTCTATAGTCTAGTCTATAGTCTAGTCTATAGTCTAGTCTATAGTCTAGTCTATAGTCTAGTCTATAGTCTAGTCTATAGTCTAGTCTATAGTCTAGTCTATAGTCTAGTCTATAGTCTAGTCTATAGTCTAGTCTATAGTCTAGTCTAGTCTAGTCTATAGTCTAGTCTATAGTCTAGTCTATAGTCTAGTCTAGTCTAGTCTATAGTCTAGTCTATAGTCTAGTCTATAGTCTAGTCTATAGTCTAGTCTATAGTCTAGTCTATAGTCTAGTCTATAGTCTAGTCTATAGTCTAGTCTATAGTCTAGTCTATAGTCTAGTCTATAGTCTAGTCTATAGTCTAGTCAATAGTCTAGTCTATAGTCTAGTCTATAGTCTAGTCTATAGTCTAGTCTATAATCTAGTCTCTAGTCTAGTCTATAGTCTAGTCTATAGTCTAGTCTATAGTCTAGTCTATAGTCTAGTCTATAGTCTAGTCTATAGTCTAGTCTATAGTCTAGTCTATAGTCTAGTCTATAGTCTAGTCTATAGTCTAGTCTATAGTCTAGTCTATAGTCTAGTCTATAGTCTAGTCTATAGTCTAGTCTATAGTCTATAGTCTAGTCTAGTCTATAGTCTAGTCTAGTCTATAGTCTAGTCTATAGTCTATAGTCTAGTCTATAGTCTAGTCTATAGTCTAGTCTATAGTCTAGTCTATAGTCTAGTCTATAGTCTAGTCTATAGTCTAGTCTATAGTCTAGTCTATAGTCTAGTCTATAGTCTAGTCTATAGTCTAGTCTATAGTCTAGTCTATAGTCTAGTCTATAGTCTAGTCTATAGTCTAGTCTATAGTCTAGTCTATAGTCTAGTCTATAGTCTAGTCTATAGTCTAGTCTATAGTCTAGTCTATAGTCTAGTCTATAGTCTAGTCTATAGTCTAGTCTATAGTCTAGTCTATAGTCTAGTCTATAGTCTAGTCTATAGTCTAGTCTATAAGTCTAGTCTTAGTCTATTCTTAGTCCATAGTTCTATAGTCTAGTCTATAGTCTAAGTCTATAGTCTAGTCTATAGTCTAGTCTATAGTCTAGTCTATAAGTCCTAGGTCCTATAGTCCTAGTCTATAGTCTAGTCTAGTCTAGTCTATAGTCTAGTCTATAGTCTAGTCTATAGTCTAGTCTATAGTTCTAGTCTATAGTCTAGTCTATTCTATAGTCTAGTCTATAGTCTAGTCTATAGTCTAGTCATATAGTCTAGTCTATAGTCTAGTCTATAGGTCTAGTCTATAGTCTAGTCTAGAGTCTAGTCTATAGTCCTAGTCTAGTCTAGTCTAGTCGAGTCTAGCTAGTCTATAGTCTAGTCTATAGTCCTAGGTCTATAGTCTAGTCTCTAGTCTAGTCTATACGTCTAGTCTATAGTCGAGTCTATAGTCTAGTCTATAGTCTAGTCTATAGTCTAGTCCTATAGTCTAGTCTATTCTAGTCATAGTCTATTAGTCTAGTCTATAGTCTAGTCTATAGTTAGTCTATAGTCTAGTCTATAGTCTAGTCTATAGTCTAGTCTATAGTCTAGTCTATAGTCTAGTCTAGTCTATAGTCTAGTCTATAGTCTAGTCTATAGTCTAGTCTATAGTCTAGTCTATAGTCTAGTCTTTAGTCTAGTCTAGTCTAGTCTTTGGTCTAGTCTATAGTCTAGTCTTTGGTCTAGTCTATAGTCTAGTCTTTGGTCTAGTCTATAGTCTAGTCTTTAGTCTAGTCTATAGTCTAGTCTATAGGCAACCGCTGAAAAAAATATACCTAAAAAATTTTATAGTAAATGTATAATTTATATAATATTTATTTATATTACACGATCGGTAATCGCAGTTTAATTAAAGTACCTCATCAATGAGAAATTATAAAAAGAAATAAAAAAATCTTACAAAGCCTACAAAAGAATTACACACAAAAAACTCTTTATTTCCACAATTTCTTAATAGACATATTCTTTTCGGAATCCTTTTGCATAACTTTAGCAACAGCCATTTCGAAATCTTCCTGAGTAACGTGAACACGTCTCTCACGCAAAGCGTACATACCGGCTTCGGTGCACACACCCTTTACCTCAGCACCTGAAGCGCCAGGCATCAGTTCGGCAATTTTACGCAGATTAATGCCACGAGTCAGGTTCATTTTACGTGAGTGAATTTTAAGAATATCCAAACGAGCCTCCTCATTTGGTGGTGGGAATTCAATTTTACGATCAATACGGCCGGGACGCAAAAGAGCGGGATCCAAAATATCAATACGATTTGTGGCCATAATGACTTTAATATTTTTGGTAGCCTCAAAACCATCCAACTGATTCAACAGCTCCAACATGGTACGTTGTACTTCTGAATCACCACCCGAACCAGACTCGATACGTGAAGAGCCAATAGAATCGATTTCATCCATAAAGATAATAGAGGGTGCATGCTCACGGGCCATTACGAACAATTCACGTACCATACGGGAACCTTCACCAATGAATTTCTGTACCAATTCCGAGCCGGAAACACGTATAAAAGTACACTCGGTATGATGGGCAACAGCACGAGCCAGCAGAGTTTTACCAGTACCAGGAGGACCATATAATAAAACACCCTTAGGTTGGGCAATACCCAAAGCATCGAAAAGTTCAGGATGTTTGACAGGCAATTCAATAACTTCCTTAATTTCTTTGATTTGTTTATCCAAACCACCAACCATTTCGTAAGTAGAATCGGGCACTTTTTCCACCATCATAAGTGATACCAATGGATCAACTTTATTAGGTAGAATCTTATGCAGGGTATAACTTTCGTTACGCAAAGCAACACGACAATTGGGAGTAACATCATTGATGTCAATGTTTTTATCAATGTCTACAACAAATTTACCTTCGGGATGCACCTTGACCAAAACCTTTTTCTTATCCATGGGCTTGACTACCTCACCGACATAACTGCCCTGTTCCTGCAGCAGTTGCAACTCCTCGCGCAGCATGCGAACTGCAAGAGAAAATAACATTTTAATACATTTTTATAAGCAATGGAGGAGTTATACCTTTAGCATTAAGTTCATTACGCTGGGCCTGCAGACGTCTTAAATTTTGCGATTTTTCAGCTACAATCAATTGCAGTTCTTCGATTTTTTGTATGTAATATGAACGAAAACCCTCACCCTTGCAGGCGGCATCAATGTCCATCTACAATTTATATATTTTTAGGTGAATTTAATTAAAAAAAATTGCTAATTTAGACTTACCCGATTGGTGACGGTCATTGTTGGATATTATTTTATTAATTTAGTTTAAGTTTTATTTTGTTTAATTTTTTTAATCGTTTGATTTTTCCTGTAACTTTTGTTAAAACACAATGACACTTCTTTTAGAAAATTTTGCAAAGTCAACACACACGGTTGTATATTGTAGTAGTAACAACTGTATTTGTTATTACATAGCTCACAGCTTTTGTATATGTCTAGCATAAAGAAAATATGACGGAGATGTTATTAAATGCACGTTAAATTTAAATGTTTATATGACTGCTAACATTGAGGTAAAATAAATAAAATTGATTTTTAAATAAAAATTAAATGAAAATATAAATTTTTTAATTATTATGAATGTTTCAGTAATCGACGGTTTTACAGGTTTTAATGTAATTCCCTCCTGTAATCAAATTTTAATGTATTTTTGAAGTTTTTCTGATTAATTGTTGGCATTTCTAAATAAAACATGCAAAACTGACGATTGCGGGAATTATCCTTTAATTTGATTTTTATTTATTATTAAATTAAAACTAACATTTCCATAAATTTATAATCAAATTTCAACAGATAACATAACCTAAAAATGTTCATTAAATTTATTTTGTTAGGACAAAAGAAGAAAATGCAATATTTTCCCTCCTTAAACTTTAATTTATATACTTTTGAATCTCATCATAGAAAGCTAACACCAACGCCCCACCAGTGCCACGCAATATATTTGAAAAGGCACCTTTAAAGAATGCCTTCATACCTTCGGTTTTTAAAATTGTGGCCCAACAATGAGCTGTATTCTTGTAGATCATTTTCTCTTTTGACAGACCCGACTGCATCATCATACGGCGACGTACCGTATCAAAAGGATACGATGTTATGCCAGCTATAGTTGTCACCACTTGCGCAATGGCCCAACTTATGTAGAAGGGAGTATTCTTGGGATTGGGTAGAAAATCACGACAGGTATCGTAGAAACCAAAATATGTAGCACGATATATGATAATGCCCTGCACGGAAACACCGAAACCTCGATATAAACCCGTTGCTCCATCACTTTTGAAAATTTTTACAATGCAATCACCCAAACCCTTGAATTGACGTTCACCCGCACCCTTGCCAACATCGGCTGCTAGGCTATTGTAATATAAAACAATTTTATTAAGTATCTTTTTAATCTTCTTGCGTAAAAAAACTTACCGCGTACGCCCAAAATCCAAGGGATAAACAAAACATAGAGAAGTTGCTCCAGCAGCGCCACCAGAAGCCAAATTGCCCATGAAATAACGCCAAAATTGTTCATGTTTGTCAATGCCACCCAAAAATATCTGAAGATTAATGAAATTTAATTAACACATAGGCTCATAATTCCATTTAAAATAAAGAATCTAGATCCACCTGTTTATATTTATCTTTAAATGCAAAATTTAATGCTTGCGTTGGAAAGTAACGTATAACATTTGCCAAATTTCCACGCCAATACGATAGGAAACCCTGTTCCTTGGGCAACCGCACAAAACAATCGATTATACCTTTATAACGTTGTGCCTCACTAATTTGCGTCGATACATGTTGCACTTGCAGCAATAGTTTAACACGTTCTATGGGCGCTACCGCTGTTTTAGCTACAGCAGCTGATATACCACCCGCCATAAAGTCTTTAAGGAAAGACATCGGATCCGTTAAATCCTTACCCATGATGATATGTTTAAGGTTTCACAATACAATGAAGATTTCTAAAAAAATTAAATTGTCGTCAGAAAATTTATATCAAAAAAAAATATTTTCAAATTTTCAATTAATAATTATGAATTCATTGCAATACAGTCTTCGGAATTTTTCAGAATAAAAGTAGTATATTTCTTTTCACATTCGACATCTAGACTATGGTCTAGTCTATGGTCTAGTCTATAGTCTAATCTATAGTCTAGTCTATGGTCTAGTCTAAAGTCTAATCTATAGTCTGGTCTATAGTCTAGTCTATAGTCTAGTCTATAGTCTAGTCTATAGTTTAGTCTATAGTCTAATCTATAGTCTAATCTATAGTCCAGTCTACAGTCTAGTCTATAGTCTAGTCTATAGTCTAGTCTATAGTCTAGTCTATAGTCTAGTCTATAGTCTAGTCTATAGTCTAGTCTATAGTCTAGTCTATAGTCTAGTCTATAGTCTAGTCTATAGTCTAGTCTATAGTCTAGTCTATAGTCCAGTCTATAGTCTAGTCTATAGTCTAGTCTATAGTCTAGTCTATAGTCTAGTCTATAGTCTAGTCTATAGTCTAGTCTATAGTCTAGTCTATAGTCTAGTCTATAGTCTAGTCTATTGCCTAGTCTATAGTCTAGTCTATAGTCTAGTCTATAGTCTAGTCTAGACTATAGTTTAGTCTATAGTCTAGTCTATAGTCTAGTCTATAATCTAGTCTATAATCTAGTCTATAATCTAGTCTATAGTCTAGTCTATAGTCTAGTCTATAGTCTAGTCTATAGTCTAGTCTATAGTCTAGTCTATAGTCTAGTCTATAGTCTAGTCTATAGTCTAGTCTATAGTCTAGTCTATAGTCTAGTCTATAGTGTAGTCTATAGTCTAGTCTATAGTCTAGTCTATAGTCTAGTCTATAGTCTAGTCTATAGTCTAGTCTATAGTCTAGTCTATAGTCTAGTCTATAGTCTAGTCTATAGTCTAGTATATAGTCTAGTCTAGTCTATAGTCTAGTCTATAGTCTAGTCTATAGTCTAGTCTATAGTCTAGTCTATAGTCTAGTCTATAGTCTAGTCTATAGTGTAGTCTTAAGTCTAGTTTATAGTCTAGTATATAATCTAGTCTATAGTCTAGTCTATAGTCCAGCCTATAGTCTATAGACTGGTCTATAACGTATAGCGTAGTTGTTTAGCAAATAACTGATCAGTTTTTGGTTCTCCAAAATAGTCGAAGAAGACTGTTTGGTGATTAGTCACTCAACAATCTTCCAAATTCCACAAAAAAGCTTTTTGCGGAAACATATTTTTCCGAAAAATTAGGTTCCACAAAAAAACGTTTTTACAAAAACAAATGTTCCAGCAATAAAGCTTTTTCACAATAAAAGAGCTTTTCACGATAAAAAAAGCTTTGCATAAAAGGACTTTTTCACCAAAAAAAAACGTTTTCTTATAAAAACAAAGCTTTTGCTATACGAAAAGCTCTCTTATCTAAAAACTTATCGCCATAAAAGTCCATATTTGAGAAATCAAACAAAAGATCTAAATTTTTTTTACTATTTTTATATAGTTTTTATTTTATTTATTTTTTATCTTAGTTTATGTATTTCTGGGTGAACACGTACTAAGAGTTGGTAGTTGGTTTTCTTTCCTTGATTTTGCTTTTGTGATCATTCATAAATTAAATTTTATGTTTCTTTGTATTTGTTTTTCGATTTTTTTCTTAACATTTTTAAATCTTTCACACTTTGTCTGGTTGAATAGATTTATCTAACTGGCGATACAATAATGAAACTTATTAACATACAATTCGAACGAACGAACACGTACTGTTTGTTTTTTGTTTTGTTCTTACAACATAAGATTTTTGTTTAATGAATTTTGTTGTTGTTGTTGGTACAATAATCATTCAATTAAATTACAATTTATAATGGGGTTTTTTTGTTTCGATAAATTTAAAATTAAATTAAAATTTTATTAACTGTAGGTGTATAGTAGTGTGTGTATTTTTTTAGGTAAGAGTAATTTAATTTAATTAATTTACAAGAACTTCTTGATTTCATCGTACAATACAAGTACGAAAGCACCACCGGTACCTCTGAGAACGTTGGAGAAGGCACCCTTGAAGAAGGCACCAGTACCTTCTTGTTTGGCGATGGTGGCCCAGCAGTGCAATGTGTTCTTGTAGATGATTTCGGTAGCCTTGCGACCAGACTGCATCATCATACGACGACGGACAGTATCGAAGGGATAGGAGACAATACCAGCAACAGTTGTAACAACTTGAGCGATAGCCCAGCTGATGTAGATGGGGGTGTTCTTAGGATCGGGCAACATACCACGGGCAGTATCGTAGAAGCCGAAGTAGGCAGCACGGTAGATAATGATACCTTGTACGGATACACCGAAACCACGGTACAAACCAACCAAACCGTCAGATTTGAAGATCTTGGCCAAGCAGTTGCCCAAGCCAGTGAATTCACGTTGACCACCCTTGCCGGTATCAGCAGCCAAACTGGAGAAAAAATAGAAAAATAATAAGAGAAAAATAAGTAAAAATTGTGGCAAGAGTTTTTATGGTTTTTTGTTTGGGCAAAACCTACCGAGTACGGGCAAAGTCCAAGGGGTAGACGAAGCAGAGGGAAGTGGCACCAGCAGCACCACCGGAAGCTAAGTTACCCATGAAGTAACGCCAGAATTGAGTGTTCTTGTCAACACCACCCAAGAAAACCTAAAAGCGAACGGAGAAAAAGAACTTAGTATAAGTAAACCGCTAAGACTTGAACACTTGACATTATTTTGATGGTGGCTTGAATAGTATTGTTGAGAGATGATTGATTGATGATTGATCATACGACACTTACTTGCTTGTACTTATCCTTGAAGGCAAAGTTCAAAGCCTGGGTTGGGAAATATCTGATAACGTTAGCCATGTTACCACGCCAGTATGAAGCAAAACCTTGTTCTTTTGGAATGCGGACAAAACAATCGATCATACCCTTGTATTGCTTATCGGGGCTGATTTGTTTGGAGATGTGTTGTACTTGCAAGAGCAACTTGACACGCTCGATGGGGGCGACGGCAGTCTTTGAGACAGCGGCGGAGATACCACCGGCGGCGAAATCCTTAACGAATCCAAGGGGATCAACAGCTTCCTTACCCATTTTGCTATAAGTTGATTAAAATAATATATATATATATAGTAGCGTTAATATATTGTGTTTCTTGATTATCTTGAAAGTGATTTTGAAATTTTGATTTGTGTTGAGAGTGCATGATTCATAGTCCTTAGTTCTTGATTCTTGAGTTATTAAGGATTTGATTTTTTGGTTTCTTGAGGTTTCTAAAGATTTGCTTTTATAATTTCTTCATTTTCTTGAGACTTGCTTTAAAATTTTCTTGATTTCTTTAGACTTGCTTAATAAATTTTGTGTCTTAATTTATAATATTTGTTAATTTGTAATCTTGAGTTTGCAAATATTCACCAATTTTTTAATATTTTTATTTTGAAATTATCACAAATTATTTTTTCACTTTAATAGACCTTTAGCATCCAGTACTTTGGCAAAATTCCAAATTTTAAAATGAGTTTTCTTTGTTTAAATCTTAAAAAAACCAAATACTGGATACATACTAATAATTTTTTAAATTAACTTTTGCTATTTCATAAAAAAAACGTCTATTGTTTTTGACTAAAATCTTAAATTTTGTAAATATTTATAAATAACTTTTGTATTTTAAAATTATTGGCAAATTTCCAAAATTACTGGACTTTATTTTGAAAAATGTTTAAGAAAAGTTTGAAAAGCAACAAAAAGTTTTGTAAAGTGTTCTAAATATTACAAAACGATTTACTTATTCCCTGTTTAGGGCAAAAAGTGCATTATTTTGCAAAATGCACTATTTAGCACTTTTTAAGTAAAAATGCTTTTGTTTATAAAATTACACAGTAATGTAAAGAAAATAATAAATAATTGCACTTTTTATAGAATAAAAACATGTTATTTGAAAAGAAAGGGCAAAAAGTGCAATAAATGCATTATTTGACACTTTTTAAAGTAAAAATGTGAGTATATGAATATATTTCTTTATAAATATAAAATAAAACCCTAAAATGTATTAAGTAATTGCCCTTTTTTATGTTATTAATTTTAAAATAAGAACAAGTTCTGAGAAAAAGTGCAAAAAAATATATTTTTGCATTTTTGAAGTATAAAACTAAAAAAAAAAACAGAAAAAAGTATAATAAATTTTTTTTTTTTCAGAATAAAAGTAAACTACAGTGAAAAAAGGCAAAAATAAAAGTGCAAAAAAAATTGCAAAATTTTTGCCTTAAAAGAAAAATGTTTTTGTATAAAAAGTGGAAATAAACAAAAAAATGAATTTTTGTCCCATTTAGAAAAAGAAACTGTATTCAAATCTGAAAAATTTGAAAAAAGTGCAAAATATTTCAAAAATTTTGCGTGAAAAGAATCACGCTTATTTGTATAAAATGTTTAAATATATTTTTGTTTAGAAAAATAAACAAAACAGTTTTTATTGGATCTGTTTTGAGCAAAAAGGCAAAAAGTGCAAAAAAAAAATGCAAAATTTTTGCCAGAAAATCAGGTTGCATTATTGTAAACTAAAAATTTTTATATGATTATAGTGAAAATTGTTAAATAAATATCAATGTTTTCTTTAAAAATTGTTAAACTATTGTTTGCCTATTAAAATGGAGTGTAAAAATCTTTTGTTTTAACTAAAATTTTCTAAAATTTTTTGTTTAAATCAATTAATTTAATAATTATTTAAACAAAATAATTGCTTTTACTAAAGTTTTCACTTTAAACTGAACAATTTTTACTAATTTTTGAAAAAAAAAATATATATTAAAAATTCAGAACACGCTCTTTAAACCGGCATTTCTCTTTAACAGTTTTCTAAAAGGTAGAAAAAATGCTAAAACATTCATTAAGCTAGTTTTTTGCTAAGCACATTTAGCCACATATAATTAAAATAAATTTGCTTAATAAGCAAATACCAAGCAGACTCATAATTGATGTCTCATGCTTAAACAAAAAAGAAAAAAAACTTGATTAAAGCACGTGGTGTGGTTGGAAACAAAAGTGTAAAGTTGCTGTTGTCAAGTGATAAAACTAAACATATTACTAACCAGTTATACAAACATATAAAAAGGAAATCAAGAAATTTTCTTGGAATTAGCAAATAAAAATTATTATTATTATAAAAAAAGATTTAAAAAGTTTAAATTGCATAATGAAAAAAGGCAAATATATACTAAATATTGCATTTTTTACAAAAAAGTTATACAATCTTAAAAAAAAAAATATAGACAATCAATGATGACGTTGTTAGCATTTTAATAATTTCAGGGTTAAAGAGAAAAGAATAATTGAAAAGAAATCTAAAATGACCAAGAAAAAAAGAAAAATTTTTAAATTAACAACAGACAAGGTCTGTTATTTATAGCTTTTTTTTTTTGAACAGAGAGCAAATAAAACAAATGTTCTAACGAGAGTTTCGGTTTATTAGAAAATTTATCTCAATTTGTTGTTATTTTTTATATAACAATGATAAAAATTTAATTATATTAAGCAAAAAAAAGTATAAGAACAAAGTCTAATTATTAAACAAGTTGATTTATTGTTTTATTATTGAGTTATTGTTTTATTTATTTGTTAAATTAATAAATTTATTTACTTAAAAAAGTCTGGAGCAAAGAAAAAGTTACGTCATTCCATGTCAAGTTTGATAAAAGGAAAAATTTACTTGGAAAAAGTTTTTGTTTAAGAAAATTTTTAAAATTTCTAGTTTAAATTAAAAATTTTTAATAAACTTTGTTTAAGTTTTTAATTATTGTATAAAATTATTTAGAATTATTTAAAAATTGTTTATTAAACTGTTAAGTTTACATAGATAGAATCAAGAAAGGGGTGTAGCTGTAGTAGCAGCAGTGTTCTTGTCTCTTAGCAGTAGTAGTCAAATAGATTGCATAACATTTTAATTTAGTTATTTAAGCAAAAAAATTAATATTCTGTAAAATTTTTTAAAATCTTTGTATAATCTTTAAAATTAGTTAAAAAAATCTTTTAATTTCTTTTACCAAATGTAAATTAAAGTTATTTTATTTTAATATTAGCTGATAATTGTTTAAAAATTAACACTTTTATAACACTTTAGTTAAAATTCACCAGAAAATTGTTTAATTATTTACAAATAATGCACCCACACACTTGTCTTCTTAAAAGTTTATTATTTATATTTTGTATTTAAATTTCAATTTAATTTAAATTTATTTAAAATTTGTAATAAATTTTGTATTTTTGTAAAATAAATTTTATTAAACGTACTGTAGTTATGTGTTTTTTTATCACAGTAAAATAAAAAATCCAAAAATTCCTTTTGAAACAAAGGTCTGCTCCGGACGGCAACTTAAACGTTAATAAAATTTAAATCAAATGTAAATCTATAAAGTCTACAACTACGCCAGCAAACTACCCACCAGGAAAATTACTAATAAGACAGAGAAAAAGTGTAAAAGAGAGAGAACGAGAGACTCATAAGCTAGTAAAGAGTATTTTATATGTAAATAAAGCTTTTTACGTGACGTAACAATCAATAAAAAGCTGAAAAAAGACCATGAATTATAATAGAATTTCATTGAGTTTTTCCTATTTTCTTTTTATCTTGTCTTTCTTTTATCTTTTCTTTAATTATTTTTTTAACTCTTTTCCTATTATTTGGCTAACATTAAACAAAATCCATTGCCAAATTATATAACTTTATACTACAGCAAATTATAGCGTAAAAGTAAAAAAGAAAATGAGAGAAAGAAGGAAAAGAGAGTAATGAAAAAAAAAAGCTTTTTTCAATGCGAAATTATACAAAAACGCAAAAAAAACTTTAAAATCTATCTGTCATGTGCTAAATTATAAATTGTTTAAACATTTAACAAAAAAAGGTAAAAAGAAGAAATAACAAAAAAATCTCTATTATTGCGTACGTAACGTGACGTAAAAAGCTAGACATTGTATTTTTTTATTATTCTTTTCACTGTTTCCAAGTCCATGTTATATAAAACAACAACACTTCTGTATTTTTACATTTTTGTTAAGAAAAACTTAAAATTTTCATGATTATGTTATTAAATATTTAAACATGTGACTTTTGGCTAAATGAATTTTGTACATATGACGTCAAAAGATTATGAAAACAACATTAAATGTTGATAAACATTTCCTTCAACTTCATTCATAATCAAATTTTAATAAGTTATCAACGTTTTTTTAAGAAAACTTACAAAACGGTTCAAAGTTTTATCAAAATTTTAGAAACAACTCAGAAAGTTTTACGTTTGTTAATAAAAGGATTTCTTTAGTGAAACTTTGTTACATTTTTGAAACTAGTTATGCCTTTAGAATTTATCAAAATAGTTGTATTTGATAATGAATAAGAGATTAGATTACAAAACAAATATATTTTCAAGGTTGTCTAATAAAATTTTAAAAACTTCTTTTTTTGAAAGCTTTTCTGTTAAATGGGCGTGTTTCTTTACATTTTTAAGAGGAAAATTTTAATTTTTTAAGATTTTTATAAAAAAATTTAAGTTATCGTCGATAACTTATCGAAAATTTAGAATTTTAAAACTTTTTTAATTGAAAGCATGGACAGGTCTCTATTTTCAAAAGGTTTTTCTTTAACTTTAATACTTCATAAAATGGGCGTGTTTTTTACACTTTTAAGAGGAAGATTATCAATAAATGATCTTCAAAGTAACCACATTAGTTGTCAGAAGATTTGCCTCCATTATACCAGCTGTATCTTATATGAAAATAGAATCATATGCAGGTCAAATCAACCACGAAATAACTAAAATCATTTAGACTTTAGTAAATAAATACATTTTCAATTGAAAAAAAGATTTACAATTCATAAATGAATAAAATTACAATCTAGGTAGGTACCTATTCATTCCTCTTTTTCTTCCAATAAATCTCACCTAATGATTTCAAAAATTTCAACGATCTAAGGGTAGTTAATATAAAAAGCAATATATATTGATAGGAGAAAGTTGTTGTATTAAACTCAAACAAAAAAAAATTCTTTAGAAATTTTCAATTTATCCCAATTAAAACAGCAGATGTTGAAAAACAGTTGGTATTATTCTCAAAAATAAACATCTGTCGACAGAATAAAAGAAATTATATCTTAATACATATATGTGGGTATTTCTGGGAAGGAAAAGAAGCTAAAATTTTCTAAATTACTGCATATATTCTTAATATTTTCAATTAAATGCAACCTCTAGAATGTAATGTATTAAACATTATTAAAATTAAAAGATTTTTCTCAAAATAACACAATATTTAAGACAAAACGAAACTTCTACTAATAATTACTTCAAAATAGTAATCTGTATAAAAGAACAAATTCTTTCATATAACTCATAATGTTCTCATAAAATAGAATTGAATAAAAGATAGAGAATAGAAGAAAATACCACTTTAATGAACAATTACTTCGAAAATAAAGAATTGTTTAAACTACTCCAATATTTACTTAATTTTAATTTAAATATACATAACTTCTTTTTTCAATAAACTATAAAACTAAAAAACTTCACTACAAATCTGTTATAAAAGGTAAAATCGAAAATGTTCTCTCTATAGAATCTTTTGGCAGCTCTTCTGCCATCATCTACCTTCTCGAATACATAATTCATAACCAATGTCAATGAACTTAAAAAAAAGCTTTAAACTAAACTCTTCATCCCCCAAATAGAAAGCTTTTTTATATGTACTCTTTTTAAAGGTGAGAAAAAAATCAAAACCAAAACAAATAATAAAACTATTGATCTTCAACATGATAATCTTAAATTTACAAAAAAATCAGATCTTTTAGAGAAAAAAAACTAAGTTCAAGTTTAAAACATTGAACACTAAAACGTGCAAAATGTTTAAATTCCAAGGTAATTTGTTAAAAAGTTAGATAATTGATTCTGAGACTCATAGAACAAAAAAAACATTGGCAAAAGATCAAGATTTTTTTAAAATTAGAAAGAAATTTGTTAGCCACAAAAAGAGGGGACTGCTGGCTGCTGATGCAAGCTGTCCAAATGTGAAAATTGTGTTGAGGACGTTTGTTTTGATAAACAAACAAGGTTGTTTACAAATTAGAAAAAAAATATGTAACTATTACAAGATTTCAAGAAAAGAAAAAGTAGAGAAGAGTTTGGATTTGACGCTAGAAACAAGTTTTCTTATATCAATAACCGGTTTGAGGATCAACTACCTGTGCTCACAGGTATAAACAACGCCTAATTAATAACGATAGATACATACATTTTAGTAAAAACCAAAATGAATTTTTGAAAAATGTTAAAATTCTTAAAAGTTACGTTTTTTCTAACTTTGTTATGCATAGTTGGCATTACTAATAACATTGGACTATCAAACGTCAAATTACAATAGCAATTACAAGAGAAACCGTTAACAATTGTTTTTGCAAAAAAAAAATCACTCTCTCTATCTTCTACTCGTACTCTCTACTAGCTAAAAGCCGCACAAACACATGGCATACAAAAACGTACGAAAAGAAAGAAAAAAAAAGTATGATTAAAAAACTGCTCCAACAATAAGTATCCAGTAAATTTTGCCACGAGAACAATTTTTTTGTTCCACAAAATTACACATCTCACACAAAATTCTCTATACAAGTAAATTTGTATAAAAACAACCACTAGCCAAAATTATATAGAAAAAACAAATATCTGTTCTCACTCATACAACCACAACATAAAATGTTAATGAAATATATAAAAATTTTTAGGTTAGGTTTGAGATTATGAAAGTAGAATAAAATAAATATCTAAAAACGTTGTGGCTGCAGAAAAATTCCCCCATTTGCCTTGTGACTGATTTAACGAAACATAGAAAAAATGAGAACAATTTCTCTAGGCAAAAAAATGATTATTTCAAGTGCGGGGTTGGTGGCAAAGAAAAATAAAACGAACAAACACTAGCCATACTCAGAGTTACATAAGATTTTCTATTTTTTTACAAAAATATAAAAGCAATTTTTGTAAATTTTAACTAAATAAAACTTATATAATAGTTATTACAGCTAATTATTTTAAAAACTATTTCTGATCACCTAAACATTTAACACTTTTTCTTTACTATTTTTTCACGCACACTCACATTGTTTTCATTAGATTATTAAAAAATTAAGAAAAATATATTTATTAAATACCTTTTGTTTTAGATTTCTTTCAAAAGTTACACAATAAAAACTTCTTTTAAAAGAATATTCTTTTAAATTTCCCACTTGGCGTTGACAAAAAAAACGCGTGTTCACTTAACGACCGTAATTCGTAAAGTGATGGTAACTGGTAATTTAAAATGGTGGATATTTGCGAAAAAAAAAATTCCCTACTTTTTCCTTCTCGTTGTTCTTGCCGCAGAGTTGTATTTACAGCGAGTAGCCACTTGTATGTTAGTTACGTAGTTGCCAGATGAAGTTCGAAAAAACACATAACCAGGAAAAATATATTTTGTTTCCAATCTAAAATAAGTTAGAAAATGTTTGTTGGCATTCAGTGAAACAGACAATTGGAAAAGTGCAATCAGATTATTATTATTTATGTAATTTAAGCTAAAAATAAACAGCATCATATAAATAAATAAAAATAGTCCGTTAGCTCTATTATATAAAATACAGGTTAATTTTAATAACATTTTAAGCTACTCCGCTATATATTTACTACATTTTTAAGCAACTATGTATGTTTTTCTCTCAATTCCTCTCTCTCTACGTACAATTTCTTTTGTATTGTGTAAAATAATTTCTCGTGCGGGGAGGTTAGAAATAATTCTTTTGTAAATTTCATATTTGTTTTAATATTAAAAAAACGTGCCTTAATTCTAGAACATTTATAATATATACACATATTTTCTTTACAGTAGGATATTGAACGAAAATGTCTGGTCGTGAAGGTGGCAAAAAGAAGCCTTTAAAGGCACCCAAAAAAGAATCCAAAGACTTGGACGAAGAGGATATGGCTTTCAAGCAAAAACTTAAGGAACAACAAAAAGCCTTAGAGGCTGCTAAGCAAAAGGCTTCCCAAAAGGGTCCATTAGTTGGAGGCGGCATCAAGAAGTCTGGCAAAAAATAATTTAGTTAAGCATTTATTAAAAAATTGTTACTCTTAAAAGAAAAACTTAACAAGTTAACAATAAATGTGTGTATAGCCTTTTTTTACAAATATTTATAGACAAATAATGTGTTTTCTTTGGTATTGTGCTTTGTTTTTATTGTTTATTAAATTTCACAAAAATTGTAAGTTTGCGTTGCAACGGTTTGTATATCTTGGGCTTTGGGAAAACTGGATTGAGTTCCTGGATATTGTACGGAATGGGCAGCCACATAATTGGCAAATCCTATATGCTGGTGAAGTTCTTGTTGGGGATTTTGAGCCATATGAAAGGCTAAAGCACCTAGAAATGCATCACCAGCTCCTGTTGTGTCTAATACCTTTTCAACTTTATGGGCCGGCACATGTATACATTTGCTGGGCTCTTTGGTAGAAGAGTAGACGGCTCCTTGGGAACCCAAAGTTATGATAACCGTTTGAGCTCCTAGTTTTAATAGTTTTTGGGCAGCAATTTTAGCTTGACTGTTGGGAATAATGTAAATAATAAATAAAGAAATCTATAAATACAGAAAAAGCTTACCTCAGTGTTTGTATATCCTCCAATTCACACATTAAAGCCGCTTCGGTTTCATTAACACACAAAATTGAGGCGGCCTTTAAAAGTTCCGCTGGAGTGTTCTTCAGCGCTGGGGCAGCATTTAATATCGAAATACCTTTAAATGCTTGCAATGCCGCTAAAGTACCGACCAAAGGTGTTTCCAATTGACAAAGTAGAACTTTAGCATTTTGAAATAACGCTTCTGCCTCTTGGACATCATTAGCAGCCAAGTTATTATTGGCTCCGGCCACTATAACAATATGATTTTCCCCCTCCGAACTAACAGCAATTTGGGCAATCCCAGTACTTTCTCCCGCACACTGTTTAACAAAATCCACATTAACATTTTCTCTTTTCAGTTGCTGCACATATTGCTCTCCCCACATATCCATACCCAATTTAGCGATCATAGCAGTGTTAGCACCTAAACGTGCAGCCGCCACACATTGATTGGCTCCCTTGCCACCAAAACCATTGGCAAACTTGTGGCCATGTAAAGTTTCTCCAGCCTTGGGCAAGCGGTCCACATAGCTGTTAATGTGAATATTATTACAATAATGATTTTATAGGTTTTTCTTAGATTTATTTACCATATAAAGTCTACTATAGCCGAACCATAAACCAAAACATTTATATTTTTAGTTTTATCACTCATTATTATTGTTGTTTGTTTGGTCTGCTCTTTTTTTAATGTTTTTTTAATTAAGGCAGATTTGGAACTACCTATTAGAAATGAGAAACAGCTGCAATTTGTTTAATTTATTATAAAACAACTTGTTACTAATTGTAGATTTTTCTTATCTAGAAATTTGTTTTTGAAAGGTGTTGTAGTAATTAAATTTACAATAGTGTTTTTAAGTATCATCTTTAAATGTTTAATATGATTATAACGATATCTAGTAGGTATATGAAAAAATTATTATAATTATAACTATTCAGTTCTGGCAATTTTTTAATACACAAATACCCTAAAATTCCATACTTTTTCTCTCGGTGTAAGACTATGGTGAAATTAAGCTAAATCAGATATGTATAATTTATCGATTTTTTAAATATTTTAATAAAATTAGTTTAAAGTAATAAACTATAACTAACTTGCTAGCTAATTATCTAACTATAATAAAGGTACAGACTCAAGAAGCGTGATATTTTGCAAGAAGTAGTAGAACTTTAAATAACATCAAGATCATCCGACTTTACTTCATAAAATATTGAAAAAGTGATTATCGGAATGAGTATATAGCATTTCTATATCAATTTAATACAAGGGTTTTCGTTTAGAACAAATATGTGTTAAACTTTATTTTAATCTATTACAAAATAAAGTGAATTAGAGAAAACATCAAGAATTGAAAGAGTTTTGAAAAACTCATTACTTGGACTTATTTGAAATAGATTTCATTAAAAGAAAATTATAACTAAATTCTAAATGGAAATTTTTAAATACAATTTGAAGTTAACAATTGAAAAATATAATTATAATTTCAAAAATATAACTTAAAAATTCTGACATATAAATTAATAATAGAATTACAAATATCTATAATACATATAATTTATAATTTCTGAAATACAATTTGAAATATCTGTAAAATACTTTTGAAATTTAATTTTGAAATTTAAAAATCAAAATTCATCTCTACAAAAACTGAATTTAATTCTAAAATATCTCTTAATTTGACTTTTCGTTTGAGTTACAGAATATATTTTTTCATTATTTCATTAAAATTATTTTTTATAGTATAATGGGTATTATATTGTTACTATGTGTTCGATATTGATTTTATTAGGGAAAACATTTTAATTAAAAAACATTTCTTATATAAAAATACTATGATAAAGGGTATAAAAGATCTGACATAAGAAAATTTTTAATAATTTAAATAATAAATTTTATTTTAAATTAAATTTATTAAATTATGTTATAATTATTGCATTTTAAACCATATGGGCATTTCCACCGAAATATATTTTTTGTCACATGACGTCACGAACATTAATTGACAATATCTTAAGACCATTCCTTTTGATTGGCCCTTACTTTATCCTATGTATAAAGCTATTAGAGCTCTACATAAAAATATAAATAAGTTAAATATATATAAATATTTTCCCTAGATATAGGCAGTTAATGGTGCGTGACGTGATGTGACAAAAGTAGACTTTTCGGTGGAAATGCCCATATATATATGTATGTATATATATAAAACGAAATTTTAATAAAATAAAAAATCTCAACATTTTTGGAATAACACAAATATTTCATTCAAAATTAAACCTTTTTTAAAAGCCTGCAAATACTTTTAATTATAATGAAAATATTTTTCCGCAAAACTAATATTTTCTGAAAATTACAGTAACGATAAATGTTTCATTGTCATTATTCGATATAAATTTTCTTATGGAAACATTTCGAAATCGTCCATTTAATTTTAAATTACTATTCCAAAAGCTCTAAGAAAGCAAACGTTTTTTAATTCGCCACTAAAAAAGAAATACTTTCAAATTATTTGCGATAAAATTTTTTATATATAGAATATTAGGGTAACCCATTAGAATTCGAATCGCTCGCTTTAAGAAGAAAATCTCTAAATTACCAGCACTGTTCTTGTAATACAACCCTTGGCGGGATTATTACACACAATACTGAACACACTGCAGAAATGGGGTTGCCAGGTTTAGAGAAAAATACAAAATGTGGGTGTTTTTTGTGTTTTTATTAATAACTTTTATTAAACTTCAATATTTTACAGATTATTGTTACTTTAATAGTATGTATTAATATTATATAACTAAACAAATTACTAAAAAAATATATAGATTTGTTAAAAAGAGCCCTTAAAAATTAAAAAGAAAAATTAATTTTGTATTTAGTAATGAAAAACCATATTTCTGTTTAAATTTGTTAAAAAATCATTTTAACGTTCTTATTTTTTTTTAACATATTTAATAATTATATAATTTACAGTAAAAATTAAAATGTTAAACTAAGTATTTGTTTTAAAAATAAATGATTTTTTATAATAAAACTAGTGATAAGAAAGACATTTTTAATTAATTAATTAAAACAATGTATGTAGAGTTTGTTACACAAAAATAACATGTTTAAAACGCAACATAGTAGTGAAAACTATTAAAAATGTTTTTAAGATATTTTAAAAGTAATGTTTTTAATATTTCATATAAGTAATTTTAAATATATTTTATTACTCTTAGTTTTTTTTTTATATCATTTTAATTTTTTTTTTTTTTTTTTTATTTTATAAAGCGAAATTTACATTATTTACTTTTACGTAATTCAATTACATTTTCTGTTTGTTTTTAATTTTCTTTTTATTAAAATTAAATTTTCTTTATTTATAACTTAAATAATTTAAAACTAAAGTTACTTATTTATTTCCATATAGAAAAAGAAAACAATAGATTAATTTAACAAAATGTATGAAATATGATGAGTTAGTTAGATTTTTGTTTAATCAAATAAATAGACTTTTCCAGTTTATGTTGTAAGTGATATATATACTCTTATTACCAGAGTATTATTAGCTCTTTTTTTCATTCCTAAGTTTGTGTTTATAAAAATGTTAAAATTTGAAGGATTTTGTCAGTATTTTTTTTATTTAAAGTATTGTGCTTTTCTAAGTAAATTTAGAAAGTTTTTTTTTACAAATTTCTTTTTACAAAAGTCTAGTCTATAGTCTAGTCTGTATTCTAGTTTATAGTCTAGTCTATAGTGAAGTCTTATAGTCTAGTTTGTAGTCTAGTCTATAGGCTGTTCTATGGTCCAGTATATAGTCTAGTTTACAATCTAGTCTATAGTCTAGTCTATGTAGTCTAGTTTATGTAGTCTAGTCTATAGTCTAGTCTATAGCCTAGTCTACAGACTAGTCTTTTTTCTTTCTTTCTATGGTACTATAGAAATATGTTCTACAAAATCACTTTGTAGTGTCAGGGTATCCACGACCTGCAGCAAAATTTCAATTTCCCTTTCGGTATTTACTATGCTGGGCGCTCCCACTAATCTTACATTCTTGCCTTCGATGTTAGTGTAAAAAGTTTTATTTTTAAATATAACCGCTCGATCATAGGGCATACGAGAGGCTTGCGACTTTTCTATAGAACGGCGAAACATAACACATGAAGGCTGATATTTACCACGATCTTCTTCTTTGATATTATGCTCGAAGAGGTCACCCGTAAAGGTGGCGTAGGTGCCTTTACCCAACATTTGGGGAGAGAGTTCGTAGAGGGTGACTTTTGTGCTCCACAGGTCATTGGGTAGACAAATGTTTTTAGCATTATTGGCTAAACGTATTAAAGGCATTTCTAATTGATTTTTAATAATCGTAGAGCGTTTTGTTTCGGGCGGCATATTGATGACATACCAGGTTTCGAAACAAGTGATTTTCTTAATGATTTTATCGCCCTGCTTGGAAATAACAACTTTTTCGTTATTTGTTTTATTGCGGGCTGGGAGTGTGGGTACAATTGCTTGTTTTGGATTCGGTAACGCTGGCGTTGTTTCGTTGACTTGCTGATTGGTGGCTGCTAGAGAATTTTCTTTAGCCGCTGCCGGAGTTAAACGCTTTTTATTACTGCTCACCACTATGGGTGTATGAGATACCGCGGACATACGTTTTTTGCGTTGCGTCAGCGCAGTTTGTTTGGATGTTAGGGCTACTGAGGAGGAGTTGTTATTGTAATTAGCTTTATTGCTGCTGTTGCTAGTTTGTAATACACTCTCATCTTCTTCCGTATTTTGCGACTCTGTATCTTCAGTATCCATGTCCCTTAAGTTTTGCTCTCGCTTTCTGGTTCTCTGCGTTAATTTCTGGCGTTGTTTGCCAAATCTACTCTCTACCTCATCTTCGGTTTCTTCTTCTTGCTCGTGCTGCTGCTGCTCTTCCTCCTCCTCCTCGTCTTCATCCAAAGACAAAGGAAAGCTTTCATCAGCAGAATCCTCCATATTTGCTATTAGCGGCTTAACCGGTTGTGTTTTCTTAGCCACCATAGAATTTAAAATACGTGGTGCCGGTTTGTCAGGTGATGTCAAGGTGGCCGTTAAGGTGGTGGTAGTTTTGGCTGTTACCCTTGTATTACGTAAACCCAATTTATGATTAAGTATTTGGGGTGCGGGTTGTGTAGTAGAAGATGATGATTTTGTGGGTAACTTCCTTAATGATTCGCTAGAACGAGTCAGGGAAGATGTTTTCTTGTTATTATTATGTGTGGGTAATTTCTTGGGCGGCGCCGCAGCCAACTCCATTTCATCATCATCATCATCATCCTCGTCCTCTTCATCATCTAAACTAATACTTTCCGAAAATTCTATAACCGTAGGAGCTTTGTTGTTGTTGTTATTGGACTTTGCTTTAGTTATTAACACATCTCCTTTTTTGTTGATTATATCATTGACATTGACTATAGTGAATGTGGGCATTGTTTCGAAATCATCCATGGTGGAATTGGGAGAATCATCTTTTAGATCAATGGTGTTTTCAGAGTTAATTGTGCCGGTGGCGGCTGCTGCTGCTGGTGATGTTATGGTTTTTGTTTTCGCTTTATCACTTATTTTGCTGTTAGCAGTAGTGGAGGTGGAGGATCCCGTTGAGTTTGAGGATGTTGTTAAGGCGGTGCCATTTTGTCTGGTTTTTTGTGTAGGTAGCTTAGGTGAACCACTGCGTAGTCGATTTGTTTTGGCCGCCAGTAATTTAGCTTGTGTTGTTAGATTAGTTTGGTTTGTTTGGCTTTTCTGTTGTTGTTGTTGTTGTTCATTCGTGACTGAGCTGGCATTCTGTCTTAGCTGTGCATTAGACTTGGCTGTTATTTCAATTGCTCGCCGTTGATTTGTGGTTTGATTATTACTAAATTTATTGCTGCTGCCATTAACAGCTTGCTGGTGCTGCTGCTGGCTGTGTGCTGGTGTTGTCGATTTCTGCAACGCCAAACGACTTTTATTGAAAGGAGTAGAAGTGGCACTTACACGACTCTCCTTAACCGGCACTTTAACTTTATTACCCGCTGCAGTGGAAAGTAATAATTGTTTGCGTTTTATAGTATACGAGCTTTCATTATCACTGGAATCATCTTGGATTTCCTCTAGTTTGCGTTTTTGAGCAGTAGCTCCACTACCGGCCAAAATATTAAGATTACGTTGATTATTGGCCGAAACTAAAGAACGTCTTATTTGTTGTAATTGAGAGGGTTGGGAACGTAAACTTGTAGACGCGGCTGCAGTAGAGGATGTAACACGTTTGTTCTGAGAGTTGGCTGCTGTTTGTGTGGGTAACTTATTGTTTGTTTGTGTTGCAGGTTCTTGAACTCGTTTGGGACGTCCACGAGGTCTGACGACACGCACAGGCTGTTCTTCAATATCGGAAAAATCTGAATCATCTTGATTATCTTTCTCATCAACCTGATAAGCTTTATCGTTTAGCAAATCTGCCTCATCATCAACATCATCGTCATCATCTTGGTCCATATCATGTCTTTCGTCATAATCATCTTCGGAATTACGATTATAGAAATCATCCGAGCTGGTAGAAGCTTTACGTGTTTTACCACCGCCAGTCGGAGCCACAGACCCACCCCGGCTGGTGGAGGATCCTAGTGAGGCTACATTGCGCACAACTTTTGGTGTAACCAAATCTTCACTAGCATATTTGGGATTTGGTTTAATGGCGCGTCTTGATCTGCCAGCCGCAATGGTGGGTGGTGGTGTTTCATCTCGGGAGGGTGTTGAAACTGGTGTAGATTTATTTGATCTGGGTATAATCTTGATTTTTTGATTAGATCTTATATTAGTCATATTAGAGTTTGTGGTCTTTTGTGTTTGAGGAGTTTGTATAGTATTGCTGCTGCCTACAATTCTCTTTTTTATTGGTCCACTCAGGGATTTTTGTTGTTGAGGTGTTGCTGTTGCGACAGCTACGCCTCTTCTTAATTTAGGTGTGGGAGCCATAGTGGCTGATGTGTTTACACTTAAACGTGTGAGGCGTGATATATTGCTGCGGCTTTCTTCCGGAGCCGGTGAAACGTTTGGTGATTTTTTTGCAACTTTCTCTAGACGTACTACACAAGAACGTGTCTTTTTAGCTTCTACGGCGTTGGGCTTCTTTCCAACACGCATTTTTCACATAGAAGCAGCCTTAGGAGGGAAGTGCTAAAAGGAAAAGAAATAAAAAGATGTTTAAATAAGATCGAAAAAAAGTTTTATATTTAGAGCGAAAAGGAATCCCTGTCCCTTTAAAACATGATCACAAAATTCAAATATATTTCAAATAAACCAATTAAATGTTCAATAATTTTTAATCATTTAAGTCACCCCCAACCTCCCCCCTTCATTTATAAATAAATCATCTGGCAACTCATTAAAAAAAATTGGCGGGAATCTCGCCTTAAAAACAACAAATAATTCCTATTTCTATTAACTCAAACAATTTGTTTAATGTTTACAAATTTATTAAACAAAATATTAATGTTACATCAAAATATCATAGAAATTTAGTTTATTTTTGCCCTACTGTACTCACAAAATGAAAACATAAAAAAACAAACGAACAAACAAGCAACAAACAGACCAAAATAATATACAATATATAAATGCAACAACACACTCATACAATCACTCTGTCAGATACGTACATACAAACATACATACGTATAAATGTATGTACGTAAGTCATAGAGTCAAATCAAGTCTCTGTCAGTCTTTAGCTCTTTATTGCGCGGACTTTTCTCAACCATCATAAGAAAAAACAAAATATAATTAGACTTGACAATCATACAAAAACACTTACTTTTTTTCTTATAATTTTTTATTATGATTATAGGAGTTTTGACAACAAAAAATATAAACGTCGTTCATTTAGAAAGGAATTTTTCACAAAACACAATATTAAAATAAAGAAAAATGTACAGCTAATGTTAAATTTTTTCTTGCGTTTATTTTTTCTTTTTCGTTTGACAAAAATTTATCAGTTTTTTTTCTCGGTGTGTTTTATTTTTTTCCTTTTTTTTTGCTTCTTCTGTCGTCCACAAAGAACGCAAATGCTAGGCTCACACAATGTTTATAACACTAGGTTTTTATTAATTTATGATAGATTTTAGTAAATCTTTTAGTAATTTCACTGTTTGCACTAAATTAAAGAATATTTCTTTTGATTTTTAAGTAAAATTATCCATAAAATTGCAACGTTAAATGATGTCGACCAACGCTAGATGATATTTTGTACGGCAGCACTTGGGAAAAAGTGGTAATTTTCACTTTGGTTTTAAAAGAAAGAGACAACAAGTTACATACATAAACAACAATTTGACAGTTCCCAAGCCGTATGGCATAAGCTAGAATGTGATAGTTATATTAAGGTAAACAAAGTGGTGAGTTTATTTTTCAGGATAGTAATAGATTTACCCTGACATTTGTATAGAAAATGGCGGATTAAAAATATAGCTGGAAATCTATTACAATTTTAAAGAAATTTTTATTTTCTTTACAAATTAACCCAAAATCAATATATGTATGTATTTTGTTTTAAAATAAATACATTTGTTTTAGAAATTTATTTAATTTAGATTCAAGTTTACAACATTCTTATTACTAAATTTTGATTTCAGTTTGATTTTTTTTACATACAGTGGCAGCAACAGCTAATGTCACTTTCAAATGTCACTTTGACATTTGCTAAGAAAATTGAAAACAAAAGAGATTTGACAACAAACAAACAGCGGCCAATATACAAGACAAACAAAAATTGCAAATCATTTACAAGACAAGAATTTCCTTGGTGTTTTTTTCGTGAAATTATTTAAAAAAAGAAAGAAAAATGTCCAATTTAACTGAAGTTGAAAATTTGTATAAAGAATTAAATACCGAATGGCATAAAAAACCACAAAATATTAAGAAATGTGGCCAATTGCTGGATCAATTAAAGGTTTCTATTAAAGAGAGATAACCTCAAAACAAAGATTTTTTGTTAATCTTAATATCCTTCATTTTCCCTAGGTGGCCCTTACTAAATTGGCCTTTTTGCCTACAAAAGATGTTAAATCTTCTAAAAATGAAATGATTTTGTCACGCAATGTCTTGGAAATTGCAGTAGAATATAGTGTAGTAACCAAAGACATACCAGCCTTTGAGAGATACATGTCCCAATTGAAGTGTTATTACTACGATTATCAGTAAGTTAATTATAAACAAAATTTTATTACCATTATATGATATTAATAATGAACTTTTTGCAGGCAACAAATCGGCGAATCTGAAAATATGTATAAGCTATTGGGCTTAAATCTCTTGTATCTTTTGTCGGTAAATCGCGTATCGGAATTTCATACCGAATTGGAATTGTTACAAGCCGAAATTATACACTCCAACAAGTATATTTGTCCCATTTTGGCATTGGAGCAGTATATAATGGAAGGACGTTATAATAAAATCTTCCAAGCTAAGGTAATTTCCTTAATTTGTTAACTTATCATTATTTTCTAATAATTTATGCCCATTATTCCAGAGTTGTGCCCCTTCCGAAATCTATTGCTATTTTATGGACATTTTGTTGTGCACGGTGCGTGATGAAATTGCCGCTTGCATTGAAAAGGCCTACGAAAAGATTTCCATAGAGGAAGCCAGCAAGAGGCTTAATCTTAAATCCATTGAAGATGTTAAAGCCTTTGGCAAGAAACGCAACTGGCAATTGGGAGCTGATAATGTCTATAGTTTTGTTGATAAATCGATAAAACCCAAAGAAATTCTACCATCTGTGGAATTGGCCGAACAGGCCATATTCTATGCTCGCGAATTAGAAATGATTGTTTAGAACAGCTTATATATTTAATAAACACTCAAAAATGTATCATTTTGTAATTAAATTTATTTTACAACAACAATTTTATTATTTCAAACGTACACATTTACTTTTTCAAAGCCGAAGGTTGGGGGCAACGATATTTAGCCATTTCGATTTCAGCCTCAGCATAGCTGAAACGATTGAAACAGAAGTATTCGGGTACTTTGTACTGACCATTGGCGGAGGCTCCGGGACCAACGGGTTCGCTTACAGGTTTAACGCAGTTGCTGGACAAACCCTTGACATTGCTAGTGGAGGGGCCAGATGAGGCACCGGGAGTCTTGACGCCGGTAGCTTGAGTGTAGCAACGTCTTAGGAGACTTTGGCAATTTCTTACGTTTCTCATAGTTGTTGTATATATTTAAAAACTAAATTTATTTAACTTTTTTATATATATTTTTTATTAAAGATTCACGTAATCTTACGCAAAGCAGCAGCACTATCGCTCACCTATCAACTGTCAAAAACCATATGTTTAATGTCAAAAGTTATGTGGTGAATTTTTCTTGTTATCAGTGTTGTAAAACATTTACAGAAATGATAAAAAGTATTTTTATTTTTTTTTTCTAAAAATTCAGTTTATTTCCTTTTCTTAAATTTAGGTTTAACCACACCATAATGTTGATCTATAGCCGCCACCGGTGCCCGCTTCTTATTTTGCTTCTCGATTTTTGTTTTACTGCGACACTTAACCGAAGCAGCACCCGTTTGATTTTTACCCAGTTGATGCAACTTTTTCCTTTCTTCTCTTATGTCTTTCAGTCTTTTACGCTCGTCCAACAGGTCTTTATAGTTTTTGTAGGCTTTCTTGGGTGGTTTGGCACCCAATTGCACCATTTGATAGATTAACATTTTCTTTTTATTTTTCTGCACTCGCTGATTGTTCATGGCAAAATTTAACACTTCATGTCGGGCCTTTTTAATATCAAACTCATTTTCATCTTCCGCTGGAGTTTTGGCTGAGTAATTTTTCTTAAAAGGTTTGCTGTCGTTTGCCACAGGAGTTATTGTTGTGGCTGCTTTCGGCTCCTCAAATACTATGGCTTTAAATTCTTTTTGTTTATTTTGCAAAGCCAATGCAGCTTTGGTTAAAACGGGTTTAAATTCTGAACTTGCGTTCATATTTTTACTTTTATTAAACAAAGTTTTCTATTATTTATAAAAATTTAAGCAAAAGACATGTGTTTGGTCTTGTTTTGATTAATGTTTGTTTTGATTTAAATTCACCTCCATATACAAAACAACTCTGTTTTAATGTTTCTGATGTAAAAGGGGCTGCCTGATTGATTTACTTTTATTTGGAATTTATTTAAATCTATAAAAATTAACTTTTATCTAAAAACTATTTTATTACTTTTAAATAATTTGTATATTTTATTAATTTTTTTTGAATAAAATTAAATTTAGTTAATTTTAAATATTTTAATTTATTACATTTTTATTTATCTTTAAAATGTGGCAACTTTTTTAACTACTTTGCCTCAAATTCACCACACACATGGTTTTTTGTTGTCATTTTTTTGTTAAGCAGTAGAAGTTTATTTATAAACGTGTTTTTTTTATTAAATAAAATTTTAATTAATATTTTTAAGCTAAAATGGCTAGTGTGGACAAGAATGCGAATAATCCTTTGAAAAATAAAATATCCAAAGAACTACGTGCCAAGGCAAATGATTTTTTAAATAACAAAGCTAAAGCCAACAACTTGGTGGATATCATACAATATTTGCAGGTAAATTAACAGTAACTTAATTATAACTTAATATAACACAATAATAACTTCATTTTCTAGAAAACTATAGAGGAAAAACAAACCATAACACCGGCTCTTCTTACACTAGAGGTTGTTTTCACAGAACTCTTGAGAAGAAGAGATTTATTGCACGACAAAGACATTGTCTCAGAAAACCCGTCAGAAGCTGAAACTAAATATCGTAATTGGTTAAATGAACGTTATGAAGAAACCTGGTGTCTTATGTTAAACGCCATAGATTATGAAAAATCTTCAGATGCCTCACAAGCTTTAGTTTCCTGTATGAAAATTTTAACTGCCGAAGGTAAATATCCTCTACAATCTACGGAGCCTCTCAGATTTCCACGACTACGTTTACGCCGCATTTTGGAAAAACTTATCAGTGGTCAGCGTTTACAAACTGCCGCCATACAAAGTTTTAAAGAGTACGCTGAGTACTTGGATGTGGTACAGAATTGTTGGCATCTCCTGCCCAATCTTATAAAGAAGCCTTCAGTTAAAAATGAAACTTTAGCCTTAAATTATTTAGAACTTATTCAAGCCATACCGGTCACAGATAGTTTACAGGAACAGCAAAAACTTTTGTGTCCTTTAGCAGAAAGTGCTCCCGGCTCAGAGTTGTTTGAGTATAATAGCACCCGCAGATGTATAAACAAAGTATGGAACAATCTAATGCTTTGGCTGGATACAGACACAACCGAAAGCGTTCACAAGCAAATGTTAATTGTTTTGCTGGAACGTATTTTAACACATTTAGAAAAACCGGTTTTGCTCACAGATTTCCTAATGGATTCTTTGGATTGTGGTATGTAACGGCAGTAAATTTATCTTAAAATTTCAAAATCTCTTAAAACCATTTTCCTTTTAGGTGGCGCCATTTCTTTGCTAGCTCTACAGGGTGTTTTTACTTTGATTCAAAAGCACAATATCACTTATCCCAATATTTATGAGAAGCTTTACAGCATGTTTGAACCCGAAATCTTCCATACTAAGTTTAAAGCTCGTCTCTTCTATTTGGCTGACATTTTCCTTAGCTCTACTCATTTACCGGAAAACTTAGTGGCCGCTTTTGTTAAGCGTTTGGCACGTCTGAGTTTAATAGCACCACCCCAGGACGCGATTATTATACTGTATTTTATTGGAAATTTAATTTTAAGACATAACGGTCTTAAATCGCTAATATGTGCCCAGCAGGCGCAAGAAGGTAAGGAGATGTATGTAAAAAGCTTTATATAGAATATGTTCCATAGGAAAGTTATTTATATGAAGTATTTTATAAGGAAAACTTACCTTTTTCTACAAAAAAAAAAACTTCCATAAGATTTTATAGAAAGATTTCCGTAACGAAAAAGCTTTCTATAAAGAAAGCCTTTCAGTATAAAGTTTTCTATAACGAAAGCTTTCTAAGGACTATTTCCAGTAAAAAGCTTCATAAAGAATGTTTTTCAGTACAAAGCTTTCTATAAAGGAACCTTTTTAGTAGAAATCTTTCTATAAATTCTATAAAAAAGCTTTTTTGTGGAAAGCTTTCTATAAAGAAAGCCTTTTTATGGAAAGCTTTCTGTAAAGAAACCCTTTTAGTGGAATGCTTTCTATATAGAAATCATTCTATACAAAAGGACGATTCTATAAAGGACGATTTTTATCTTTTTTTTATAAATAAAGCTTTTCAGTGGACGCTTTCTATAGTTTTTTAATAGACAGTATTCAATAAGAAATCATTACCGTAGAAAGCTTTTTATAGAATACTTCATATGAATTTTCTTACAAAAAAGCTGTTCATAGAATGATTTCATTATATAAAAGCTTCCAGTAGAAAGCTTTTTTTATAGAAAATTTTCTATAATATTTTGTTAGAGCAATTAAAATTCAACCCTAATTTCAACTTTCAGTTTCCGAAGATCCCTTCATAATGGAAGAACGTGAACCCACCAAATCGAATGCCATCAAAAGTTCACTTTGGGAAATCGTAGCCCTACAAAAGCATGCCATACCTTCGGTAGCTACAGCCGCCCGTTTCATTTCACAACCCCTACCCAAGAACGAATGGGATTTATCATCGGTTTTGGAAGTTAAAGAAGATGATGTAAGTTTTGAACAAAATTTTTTTTTATTTGCGAAATCAAAATAGTTTCAATTTTTTTTTGTAAAAACAGATCTTCGATCAAGAAATTACCAAGAAAACCAAACAATACGCATTGGCCTTTGAGCGTCCACAAACAGTGTTTCTACCCAAAAATGATAAAGTTCAACAACACTGGTGTCTGCTATAGTTAAGAGATTTTTAATTAATAAATTTAAAAGAAAAACATACACAAATTGTTTTTAAATTTTATAATTTTTATTTAAACTAAAGTCTACTACTACACACTTGCTTTAGTGAAGTGAGTTTTTAAGGGGATTTTGAAATTGTTGTGTCTTGTTAAAAAAAAAAACTCCTTTACAAGTTTTGTCAATTACTCCTAAATACTAAGAGAGAAAAATGGGGGGTTTCCATTTAAATTTAAGTCATACAATGAAATTTGTTTGTATAATACTAAGCACTACGCTGGAGTTGAGCCGTCTTCAGCTTAAATTTCTTCCGGTGCTGGCGTAGACGATGTAGAAGTCGACTCGAATTTTATGTCCAGCTCAAAATTGGTATTGAACAAAGTATTACAAGTCAAAGCGGCCACATTGCGCCTGGCCAATTTCTTGGAACGTCCCGTAGCCACAAATTCCTGATCATCAACGTTTATGCCCAACGACTGCAACATATTTGGCTTCTCGCCAATGGTACCTTTGTCAACATAGACAACACCAGGACGCATAACACATAATAGGGAAGCGGGATGCATAGCCTCCCAATTGGGTGGCAATTCATTGCGTATGGGAGCCTTTTTGGGTTCTTTGGTGCCACCTTCATTGTCACTAGTACTGCCGCCAGTGGATGGATGCATTTCGGGTATAACATAACCCTCACTTTCCCAATCCGAAAACAGTTTGTAGATAGCAAACGAAGCCAAATTAATCATGGGCACTTCATCATCATCAACAGCATTAGCCTGTGATGGTGTATTATCATCACTAGTGTCCATGGGTTCATTACAAACCGAATTATTGCTGCTGTTGTTGGCATTCTTTTGATTGCGTGGATTTTCACGCAATTTGGCAATAATGAAATCACGCAGAGCCTTTTCGCAGGCATTATTCTTAGCAGCTGCCTTTGAATTGCCACGACCCTCATACTGACTGTTGTTAACAGTGACGAGGGCGGTAAAACCACCACCAGGATTATTATTAATGGTAAAGTCACTGATCGAGACACCTTTCAATTCATTGAGAGCCATTAAACCATTTTTGGGTATAAGGGTTTTACGCAAGCGACGATTTTGACGGATGCGTTTCTCCTTGGTGCGTACTAGAATAGAAACGGCAAGAGAAGGCAATGGAGATTAATTAGATGAATAAGAATATGCTAAAAATTATATTTGAAGTACATTTTGTTCAGACTATAGACTAGACTATAGCCTATACTGTTGTCAGGACTAGAAATTAGACTACAGTACTGACTATTGACTAGACTATAGTCCTGACTATGGGCTATAATCCTGACTATAGACCAAAATATACAATAAACTCATTATTTTTATATACATTACATAATAAAACATAATTATAAAACCTACCGGAAGCCTTCTTGCGAGTCATGAAGATTTTCTTGAATTTAACTTTGCCATTTTCATCCACAATACCCGAAGTATCCAAAGTCATGGAACTTTCTCTGAAGGGATTCTCTGGTGGTGGTTCCAATGGAGGAACAACATTTGACTGTTGATTTTGCTGTACCGGTGAAACATCAGGCGAATCCAATTGCTGTGGCTGCCTCTGGGGTGTATTTTGCTGTTGAATAGGCTTTTTAATGGGAGTAGTAGTGGGAGTACTTGGATCCTAAAGTAATTATTTATATAAAATTATAATTAAATAAATAAAATGAAAAATAAACAAATACAACAAGCTAAACTTATAATAAAACAATAAAAATAAAGCTTATACTAAACATTACTTTTAAAAAAAATTACCAATAACCCAAAAAAATGGCGGTAGAGTAATTATCCAGTACCCATAAGGAAGAGCGCACCATTTAATTTATTTAAGCCACAACATCAGGTTAATTGGATTTTTTTTCGTTTATTTATTACTACTGAAACTATAGTTAAGGAATAGCTATGAACATTTTCTACAGCTAAAAACCCAAACTTAACTTTTGTATTTTAAATATCAAATACTATTTGTTTCTATACAAATTAAACAAAATAAACAAACATTTACAAAGAAAAACTTCAACATTTGTTTGAAAAAAAATTAAAGCCCAAATGAAGAGTTTTTAGAAAATGTTTGTTGAAAATGGCAGAAAACTCTAAATTTAAAGTAGAAATGGTGGTTAATATCTAAATGAAACACACCCACCCCTAATTTAAGGGTTGTTTATTAAAAATTTCCACCACCAAACAACTTTTTTAAGAGTTGACCAGCATTTTGTTTATTTACACCTGTTATTTTTTAAACATTTTAGTTTAACTATTAAAATTGCCTACGATTTTACTACAATTTTATTATTTAAACAGAAAAATGTTTAAAAAACTACTTGGCAGAGTTTGCAATTCTTTTTTTTTTAAAGAATTTTTTCCTTTTAACGTTTGAGTAATGAGCAAAATAAAATGTACATAACTATCGGACACAAAACTGATAATTTGAGCAAAAGTTCACATAGAACGTTTTCCAATAATCGGTTCAAAAGCGCTAAAAAATCGGACTTATATATGGATTTCCCTTTATTTTTATCATAAAAAAACAAAACTTCCCTCCTAGTGTCATAAAAATCAAAACAGGCCAAGTTGATATAACTTTTAAGAGAGTAGAGTAAGTAATGTTCTCTTACACTGTCTCTGAACTCTCTTAAGTTATAAAAACTAGTATACACACAAGAAATTTATTAGCGCTTCTAAAGATTATTGCAAAAAAGTCTAAGAATTTTGGTTTTTTATTGATTTTCTTTTTTTTTTTTTTTTTTCAACCATAAAACTGACTTTTTCGCTGTAAAAATCATAAAAAAAGAAACAAAAAATTAAAAAGATTAATTATTTTTATACAAAAACAAAAATAGAACTAGTTTTTTTTTAATAGAATAATGACTAAGTTTTACACGTTTTGATTCATAAAATCATTTACAATATATTCTTTTAACATAACTGATGAAATTATTATGATGAAATTTACCAAAACAATTTATTTTAATTACTTACATAAACACCACCGGATACAAAACTTTTATTAGATGTAGCTGTACGTCTGCGATTCATGTTTTCTGTTTAATTTTTTTTTTTCTTAATAATTTATTTTAAATTAAATTTTCTTCTTTTTTTCAAGGCCCGAAAGAAAAACTTGCGTCGTCTACTCTCAACGACTGTTCACGATTGAATGAGAACGTTGAAAATGGCGACCGGCTATTGTCGTATAAAAAAATGCAATTACTAGTGTTGCCAATATTAATATTAGAAATTTGTTTAAGCTGCCAGATGTAATTATAATGCCATTAATGTTTTAATGAGTTTTAACTTTAAAAACCCTAGGAAAATATAAATTTTTAGTATTTTATTCTTAAATTTAAGGAATTATACAATACTTTTACAACCATTACAATTTTAAAAGCAAAATTAGTTTTTTTTTTTGGTCAGTCATTACTAATATGGCAATATTGCCAAATCAACAAAACTTATTTACACAACAATCAGGCAATACTTAAAATTACACCATCAGGTAACACTTGTAATAGTGATGGTAGTTTTTGTGATAGAGAAAAAAAGGAATATTTCCTTTGTGTTGTTGTTGTTTTACAGCTATTTTCAATAGATAATTTGACATTTGTAATATACTAAACAAAAATTAAATCCCAATGTTAACAATCTATTTAAAAATTAAATAGTAAAATTAGAAGAATATAAATAACAATTTAAAAAAAATTAGCAAATTTAATTTTTTTTCTTCAAAAACATGTTCAATAATAAAATAACTTTTAAAAATTTTAGAAAATTTTATTAAAATTATACTTAAAAATAAAATAATTTGTCCTCAATTTTTTATTTTTTTTTAAGTGTCACATACCTATCATAAATTTCCCCAAAAGGGATATTTTCAAAATTATGACAAAAATTGTATTTATTGTACCTACAAAATTCTTCAAATCATTGAAAAATTATGTTCAACTAAAGGAGGAAATTTAAATTTTTTTTTAGCAAATTTAAATTTTTTATTAAAATTAAAGCTAAATTTGTTAAAGGGAAATTTTCAAAATTATAACAAATTTGTGTTTATTGTACAAAAATATATTTAAAATTCATTAAACCGTTTAAAGATGCTGTTTAACTAAAATTTCCCCTAAAGGGAATTTTACAAAACAAAGGAAATTTTTTAAATTTTAGTGAATTTTAATTTGTTGTATAAAATTATGTTCAAAATTTATTACATTTTTTAAATTTAAGAAAAATTTCCACAAAGGGAAAATTTTTTTCTTTTATTGTGTAAAATTATGTTTAACAAAAATTTCCTTAAAGGAAAATTTTTGAAAATAAACAAAATTTTGAAAATTTGAAAATTTTTTTTTATATTGTACAAAATTATGCTCAAAATCATTAAATCATTTAACAATAATATTTATCTAAAATTTCTCCTAAAGGGAAATTTTTTCAAAATAATGGAAATTTTGTAAACGTTAACAAATGTCTATATATTGTACAAAAATGGGTTCAAAAGTCATAAAATTTAAAAAAAAATTACTTAACTAAAATTTCCCTCAAAGGGAAATTTTTCAAAATAAAAAAAATTTGAACAATTACCTATCTGTAAAACGTACAAAATTATACTCAAAATCATTAAAGCTTTTAAAAATCATGTTTATTTAAAGTTTCCCCAAAATGGAAATTTTAAATAAATAAGGGAAATTTTGAAAATTTTAAAAAATTATGACCAAAAATCATAAAATTTTAAAAAAATCCGTTTTACCAAAAACTTCTATAAAAGGAAATTTTTTAAAATATAGAAAATTTTAATTTTTATTTATTGTACCTACAACAAACGTTTAATCTTATTAATAAATAAAATAAAAATATTTAATACAAAATGTCTCAGAACTCAAAGCAGATTTAAATATTTTACATAAATATATTAAATTTTAGATATTTTCCAGAAATTGGAATATTTCAAATACTTGGAGGATTTAAATAACAAAAATCTAAAAATAGCATATTCGATCTTTTAATTACTATTTGTAAAGTTTATTTGAAAACCTTTGATTTGTTTCTTTTCCAAATTTAAATTTTCAACATTTTCCTTAAATAATAAAAATATTTCAGTACAAACTGTATGTGTAATAAGTACAAGTAAAAAAACATGTTTAACTAAAAAAATACTCTATGTACATAAACAAAAAAAATACATAAAAAAGAGAAAGGCACAGCCGGTTAGTTGCTAAAAGTAAATAAGAGAATTACAAAAAAAACACAACAACTATTATGTTGTATAGAGAAGAGGGGCCAACTATAAAATAAAAATAACAACAATAAACTGCAGAGAAGCCAGCCAGAGATACATACAAAAAATACAAATGTTTTTTTTTTGATCTCTTTTGGGTTAACAACAACAAACACACAAAAGAAAAAAAGGCGCGTAAAGTACAGTCATACATTAAAAAGAAAATGTATGGAGGAGGTTTTGGTAATTTTCTTTACAGAAAAACATACATTTTTAATTTTCAAAGGATATTATTAGAAAATTTTAATGAAAATAACTTTGTAAATCATTTGTTATAAAAGGGAAACAAACTTCAAGTAAAGATAACATTTTAAAGAAATCATAGTTTTACACTATGAGAACTAATTAAAGGGTCAAATATTAGGAGGAAAAAACAACACTTTATTTTTCTTTTAAAGTAAGTTTTTAATTTATTGTTTCTCTTTTGCACAAATATAATTAATCTTAAACAATCACATTAATCCTTTCGATTTTAAATACTCCGGGAATTCAGCCATCACCAAACTCGTACAATTCAAAACTGCAAATAAAACCAGTAAAAACACAATGTCTTTTAATATCTTACCATATTTTTTCAAGTGTAGTGAAAAAAAAATTGCCCTGTAATCCAAAAAACCTTAAGTACCCTTTTCTTTAGTATCACTTGCCACTTTTTCCTCTTCCTCTCACACTATTACTATGTAACAAAGTGTAATTTTTTTTAGTTTAGTCGGGAGTTTTTTTTTAATTGAAAAGAAATTAATCCGTGTAAATAACTGAACAAACTTGCTCGTAGCGTAGCATTTTTGAATTTAAGTGAAAAATCTAAAATTTACAGCAAATGAAATCTTTTTAGTGTAGAGCTCTGTGTTATTTTTTTCCCTGTATAAAATACAATATTTTTTTGTCAGAGGTTTCATTTAATGGCTGTGATATGAGTTTTGCGTTCTGTTTTTTGTTGTTGCTGTTCATATTATAAACCACATACACTTTCTCTACGAAATATACAATTTTTTTCCAATAATGAATAGTAAAAACATCATGAAAGTGCAAAAATATTGCGTGAGAATATTGTTAAGTTACATCCATACATACAATATACTTTAGCTGTATATACTATACATATTTTTGGCGTTTTTTTTTTGTTGTTTTTGTTTCTTTTTTCATGTACAATAGATGACGCTTCATTATACAATGCGCCATTTGTATAAAAATGAGAAGAGTGAGTGAGAGAGAATATATGAAAAAGGGTTGCCGCTGTGACTGGATTGCAATTTTAAAATTAAGAGTAATATCGCCATTTGGTGGAGGGAGAACTTTAGTTAGTTAGTTATAGTTAGTTAGTTAGTTAGTTAGTTAGTTAGTTAGTTAGTTAGTTAGTTAGTTAGTTAGTTAGTTAGTAGTTATTAGTAGTAGTTAGTTAGTTAGTTAGTAGTTAGTTAGTAGTTAGTTAGTAGTTAGTAGTTAGTTAGTTAGTTAGTTAGTTAGTTAGTTAGTTAGTTAGTTAGTAGTTAGTTAGTAGTAGTTAGTAGTTAGTTAGTTCGTTAGTTAGTAGTTAGTTAGTTAGTTAGATTAGTAGTTAGTTAGTAGTTAGTTAGTTAGTAGTTAGTTAGTTAAGTTAGTAGTTAGTTAGTTAGTTAGTTAGTTAGTTAGTTAGTTAGTTAGTTAGTTAGTTAGTTAGTTAGTTAGTTAGTTAGTTAGTTAGTTAGTTAGTTAGTTAGTTAGTTAGTTAGTTAGTTAGTTAGTTAGTTAGTTAGTTAGTTAGTTAGTTAGTTAGTTAGTAGTTAGTTAGTAGTTAGTTAGTTAGTTAGTTAGTTAGTTAGTTAGTTAGTTAGTTAGTTAGTTAGTTAGTTAGTTAGTTAGTTAGTTAGTTAGTTAGTTAGTTAGTTAGTTAGTTAGTTAGTTAGTTAGTTAGTTAGTTAGTTAGTTAGTTAGTTAGTTAGTTAGTTAGTTAGTTAGTTAGTTAGTTAGTTAGTTAGTAGTTAGTTAGTTAGTAGTTAGTTAGTTAGTTAGTTAGTTAGTTAGTTAGTTAGTTAGTTAGTTAGTTAGTTAGTTAGTTAGTTAGTAGTTAGTTAGTAGTTAGTTAGTTAGTTAGTTAGTTAGTTAGTTAGTTAGTTAGTTAGTTAGTTAGTTAGTTAGTTAGTTAGTTAGTTAGTTAGTTAGTTAGTTAGTTAGTTAGTTAGTTAGTTAGTTAGTTAGTTAGTTAGTTAGTTAGTTAGTTAGTTAGTTAGTTAGTTAGTTAGTTAGTTAGTTAGTTAGTTAGTTAGTTAGTTAGTTAGTTAGTAGTTAGTTAGTTAGTTAGTAGTTAGTTAGTTAGTAGTTAGTTAGTTAGTTAGTTAGTTAGTTAGTTAGTAGTTAGTTAGTTAGTTAGTTAGTTAGTTAGTTAGTTAGTTAGTTAGTTAGTTAGTTAGTTAGTTAGTTAGTTAGTTAGTTAGTTAGTTAGTTAGTTAGTTAGTTAGTTAGTTAGTTAGTAGTTAGTTAGTTAGTTAGTTAGTTAGTTAGTAGTTAGTTAGTTAGTTAGTTAGTTAGTTAGTTAGTTAGTTAGTTAGTTAGTTAGTTAGTAGTTAGTTAGTTAGTTAGTTAGTTAGTTAGTTAGTTAGTTAGTTAGTTAGTTAGTTAGTTAGTTAGTTAGTTAGTTAGTTAGTTAGTTAGTTAGTTTAGTTAGTTAGTTAGTTTAGTTAGTTAGTTAGTTAGTTAGTTAGTTAGTTAGTTAGTTAGTTAGTTAGTTAGTTAGTTAGTTAGTTAGTTAGTTAGTTAGTTAGTTAGTTAGTTAGTTAGTTAGTTAGTTAGTTAGTAGTTAGTTAGTTAGTTAGTTAGTTAGTTAGTTAGTTAGTTAGTTAGTTAGTTAGTTAGTTAGTAGTTAGTTAGTTAGTTAGTTAGTTAGTTAGTTAGTTAGTTAGTTAGTTAGTTAGTTAGTTAGTTAGTAGTTAGTTAGTTAGTTAGTTAGTTAGTTAGTTAGTTAGTTAGTTAGTTAGTTAGTTAGTTAGTTAGTTAGTTAGTTAGTTAGTTAGTTAGTTAGTTAGTTAGTTAGTTAGTTAGTTAGTTAGTTAGTTAGTTAGTTAGTTAGTTAGTTAGTTAGTTAGTTAGTTAGTTAGTTAGTAGTTAGTTAGTTAGTTAGTTAGTTAGTTAGTTAGTTAGTTAGTTAGTTAGTTAGTTAGTTAGTTAGTTAGTTAGTTAGTTAGTTAGTTAGTTAGTAGTTAGTTAGTTAGTAGTTAGTTAGTTAGTAGTTAGTTAGTTAGTAGTTAGTTAGTTAGTTAGTTAGTTAGTTAGTAGTTAGTTAGTTAGTTAGTTAGTTAGTTAGTAGTTAGTTAGTTAGTTAGTTAGTTAGTAGTTAGTTAGTTAGTTAGTTAGTTAGTTAGTTAGTTAGTTAGTTAGTTAGTTAGTTAGTTAGTAGTTAGTTAGTTAGTTAGTTAGTTAGTTAGTTAGTTAGTTAGTTAGTTAGTTAGTTAGTTAGTTAGTTAGTTAGTTAGTTAGTTAGTTAGTAGTTAGTTAGTTAGTTAGTTAGTTAGTTAGTTAGTAGTTAGTTAGTTAGTTAGTTAGTTAGTTAGTTAGTTAGTTAGTTAGTTAGTTAGTTAGTTAGTTAGTAGTTAGTTAGTTAGTTAGTTAGTTAGTTAGTTAGTTAGTTAGTTAGTTAGTTAGTTAGTTAGTTAGTTAGTTAGTTAGTTAGTTAGTTAGTTAGTTAGTTAGTTAGTTAGTTAGTTAATAACCTACATTACCCACAAATTAAGTAACTGCTGGGGTAACACTGACTGTGTGTAACCCTCTCCCCACCACACACAATGATTTGCAATTGTTATACACACATTTATTTAATTGGAAAAATACTGACGTATATAAGGTTAGAAAGAGATAGACAACACATTCGTTATCCAACAGCATGACTGAGATGGCAACTGTACAAAACACATTAAAAATATACCCAAGAAAAAAACAACAGTTTTTAGCACAGAGAGAAACAATTGTATGAGCGACAATACTCTCGTTTTTTATGCTCTTTCCCTGCACTACTACTCTTTATTTAATATATACATATAGTTGTTGTTGTTGCTGACTATTTTTTTTCTAAAGGCAAGCAAGGCAGCAGCAGCTAAACAAGCCAAGGCATAAAGAAACTCAATTCAATAGCATTTGTAAAGGCAATTGCCATAGCATTCGTTGTTGGTACGTACAACACAGTGTGTTTTGTTAATATACCAGCCAGCCAAGCTACGGCAGCATTATAATATACACAAAACCCAAGTATAGTTAGTGAGTCAAAAAAAAAAAAAGTAAAACAGAAAAAAAGAAGAAGCATACCTACTGAAAAAAGAAAGAAAAAAAACAACAAAAAAACATTTTCACAGTGTGGTGTTTTATATATTTTTTTTCGCAAGTTAAAGGCAAGCTAATAAAAGCAACAACAACGGCGTCAACGACGACGACGAAAACGATAAGAAGGCAACAAAAACAACAACATTACACATAATAAAATGTTATAGAAAAACAGATTTTTATTTAGAGATGTTGATGGTGATTCTTCTTCATATTTAGTTTTTTTTGCTTTGTTATTATAATTATTATTTTCATGTTATAAAGGTAATTTTTGTGACATTTATGATCTAATAAGAGTGTCTGTCTGTTTTTCTCTTAAAGCGCAATAGAATTTTACTACGTCAAAAAAATCAAAACAATAATAATAATAATAAAAACAACTAGCAAACAATAACAAGAAGAAGAGTCACATGTAATCTAATGAATTATTTTCTATGATAACGGTGCGTTTTCTTTTTTTTTTTCTCATTTGAAGTTTTTGTGTGTGTGCCTTGTTATTTTTTTTGCTCTTCTCTGTAATAAATTGTTTTTTGTGTATATTTATGATGTTGATTTTTAACCAAAATTTCTCTCGCTGTAAATTATTTTTTAGTGTTTAAAAAAAAAACTAATTATTAAAAGAAAATAAAAACCTATTAAACTAAAATCAAGTTTATAAAAAATAAAAACAAAAGTATTATTTGTTTAGAAAAAAAGTGAAAAAAATCAAACTAAAACTTAATAAAAAAAAGGCAGCAACAACAACTACAACAAGCTGTTGGAAATCTTTAGAAGCACGTTATCCCCCAAAAGTCATCAGTTAATGAGGCCCATAACTAAAAAACCACAACAATAAAAAACACCTTTTTTACATAAACTACAACAACAAAACAAACATAAACAAGACATGGAACATTTTCATCAGATACAGGTAAGCTTAGAAGTATAATTATAATATTTGTTCATTGATTTGTTTGTTGTTACAAAAATTGATTGTCATTATAAAAAAGAGTTCAATTTGTTTAGTTAGATTAGTATTAAAGAGAAATTTTGTTATTTAATTATGAATGAAATCCTAAAAAGGAATTGCTTTCAAGATGGAATTAAAATATGTTAACATTTTATGGTTTACCTATTGAGTTGGGATTTGTTTTGTTTACATTTTGACTTCTTCTAATCTTGCCAATTTGATTAGTCAGTGTTTAGGGAAGGTGCATGAGAGTAAGAGAGATAGATATAGGGTTTAGCTTTTAAGCTTCATAGAAGTATGCAAAACAGTATTTTAATGTTGAATTTATACATAATTCTTTTTAAAGGTTAATTTTAAATTCTACATGGAAAATATAAAGTACCTATTTTGTTCTGATTTGTTTACATTTTTTACTTTTGATTTTGTTTACATTTTCTTTCACATTAGTGTTTAAGTTGGAGGTTTTGTTTTTAAATTAGGAACATCTGCAAAATTCTTTTATGAATCAAATTTGATTAGGACTGGTAGATTTAAGGCCCATTATCATCATAACAAAGTTTCCCTATAAAGAAAATTTAGTGATTTCAAACAAATGATTAAATTTAAAGAAAATTTAGTGATTTCAAACAAATTATAAAATTTGGCTTAAAGCTTCTTTGCATCTACATATAAACCTAATTTAGTTAAGACATTTTAAAATTTGGTTATACAGCTATATAAAACAATCGTTAGATAAAACCATTCTTACAAATTTGTAACACTATCCTAAATAAATCGTTTCTAA